GAACGAGAACACAAGTGGGGTCAATCAAATATATTTGAACACGAAATTATCGAACAACTTAGTGAAATCTGAGAATCATACGGCAAATACTTCATTTGCAAAATGTCGATCAATCGTCTCAGATTGTGTATTCACATGAGATATTTCAAACTAGAAGAAACTACTTCAAATATACATTAGTACTCTATGAATCCTACAGTTCTTCTTCAATTGTTACCAATTCGTATTAACTGCTATCTATGTGCCAAATAATTATTAGCAATCCTGTTAATTACTTAATCTTTAGTTTTCGTTGACCATCAGTATTAACGATTATTTGTACTAATAACTGTGTTTCTCCAATCAGAATAGTGTTGATAAAAAGCAAGTGGACATATAGGATTTCTCATTTGAAATCAGTTAAGAAATTCTATAAGATGAAGAGATAAACCTTAAAGTGGTAGTATAAAGGAACAACTATACTGAATAACATTTTGTTTAAGTTAAACAGTGATTTAATGGTTGAATTAGTTCACCAATAAGTCACATATGTTTAAACCCCAGTCTAACTACATCGTTTTAAGCAGACAGTTAGTATCTCTGGCCGCCATACAAACTATAATTAAATATAACTCACTTACTAAGTCTACATTTATGTTTTCAAAGTTCAGCCACACTTTTTCAAACCAACATAAGTGGAGCGAGATTCAAATGTCACTTATTATTAATCGAATATACACATATAAACCGGTCAATAAAAAAATCGATTTGGTGAGACTATAATTAATCGACGAATCAACGAGATTTAGGGTAATAGGTCTTGAACTTTGGCGTAGAATTCATTCATCCATTTGGTTATATAGCATTTTGATATTTTAACTGATATCAGTTCGTGATAAAAAACCTTAAATCTAATTCTTAACTCTAACCATCAACTATAAACCATAATTCTAATTCCTCACATTGGTTTATAATCCTCATTTAGCCCTAGCGAGCAGATAAACATCCTCAAGGTTACTATAGCGTAGCTCAAAACTCGTCCATAAATTATAATCTTACCATTGATTTAAGGTAAAAAAAAAACAACTTTCTTTGATGGAGATTTGTTCTCTGAGCTGGGTGGTTTGGTCATGAAGCTTTCATCGTTCTTTTGAACAACATCTTCAGCACAAAATTCAGGTGCTGATGGTGTCATTCAAAAGAATGATGAAAGCTCCCCTACCAAACCATCCAGCTCAGAAAACAATACTTCATCAAAATCATCCACCTAAGCTACAAATCTTCTCCACCATCTCAAAAACTTTTTTTAAAATGTCATCATCAGGTATCTATGACAAAAGAATTAATATTTTAATTCATTCACTAGAATGGTTACTATTCACATTGATGACACGTGACGATGATAGAAGTTTAAACCAATGACTGAACCCTTCCATCTCAAGGTCATAAAATATAAATTCAGGCGAGATTATAATTTACGGATAAGCCAATCAGATTTAAGATAACAAATGTTGGATTTTGGCGCGTGATTCATTCATCCATTTGTTCTAAATATCACTTTAGCATTATAGTTGATGTCAGTTCTTGATGAAAACATTGAATCTCATTTCTAACCTTAACGTTCAATTGTAAATCCTAATCTTAATTCTTCACACTAATATCTAACTCTCATTTAACCATAGTCGGTACGGTGGACATTTCAAAGTTATTTTAGTATTGCTAAAAGGTCGTGCATAAATTATGATCTCACCAAAATTTATAGGACCATTTTGTAATGAAGGTCAAACTGATAAATTCAAATTTTGTTTATGTTAGAATAATGTATGAGAAATCAACAGATAGTAAGTCAGTCAGTCAGTCAGCGACAACGTAGGATAAGGCACATGTATGCATCGATCCAAGTTATCATACCTCATTAACACAACAAGATGAACATCAAATTCATAGAGGTAGTCACTTCAATGATAGTCATGCATTAAAGAAAGAATGTGTATATGGATATAATACAGGAAGAAAGAAAGGTATCAAGTAATTTTAATCTCTTAGTTTAAAGGAAGACAAAGAGTGCATACACCTAAGCCAATGTGATCGATTCTGAGCCATATCACTGAGAGTCTTCAACCATTGATTACGATGGTCACACGGACCCCAACCAAGTGGTCTGTATCTACCAATATGGCTTAGACTAGAAGTGAGTGACTTCAAGGAACGATGCTAAGTTTGGGTTTCGCTGCCCGTAACTTTCTTCCAACCATCTTCAATACTAGTCAGCAACCAACAGATAGTACTTTATATTGATTCGAAAATATCGTTTGTACGAATTTATTTTGTTAGAATAAACACAAAAACGTAAATTCAGTCTTTAAAGTCTAAGGTATGAATTCTTTTGTTTTTTTCCCATTTTTCATTCTTACAAAACCATCTAAATCTGTTATTTAATATAATATACCCTTGTGGGCGAGGGTAATTTTACATTGGTTTTCAGGAGAACCAGACACCATCCAGGTTTAAATGTTATAACCCGAGCAATACAGCTCAATCCCGCTCCACAGGAGAACCAGACACTATATAGGCTTTAACGCTACAATCTGAATAGTACAGCTCAATCCTATAGCGCAACCACATAAGTACCAAGCACCCTGGTGGAACAAATCTGTGGGTTTTTTTATAATTATCCCAGATTAAATGAACAGAGCCAAACAAAATCCAGAGCAACATTTCAACGTGATAATATGTTAAAGATTTGAAGGAAATGAAATAATGAATACATTAGTTGTTTTGAAATTTAATGTTTCCAACCACAAAGTTTCTATTTTATTCTGGAGTCAAGTGAAAATCCTCCAGTCGGATCTTTCTACTGGTACGCATATTTTGAATCATTACCAAGCAATTTATTGTCTGTTGTCAAATTGCATAATGGTTTAGTAAAATGTGAAAATCATACATCATTTGCATATTCTCTCACAAGTTTCATTGCTCTTTCATTTCTGTTTTTATTATGATTGTTTTCAGTTTTTGTTATATCCTAGCGAAGATGAAGTTACCAGTAACTTCTGAAACCTATTAATCGACTAATATTATCTATATATTGTTATTGTATAACTATTCAGTAACTAGACTGTGTATATCCATATTCCTCTTATTATAAGCTTCATTTTGACCTTTAGATTATTATTGTACGATTTACTGTTCTTAAGTTATGTTCAGTTTATTGATTACAGTCTCCCACGTTCACAGCCATATTTTGGCTTTATTTTGTATAAATTGTATTTCCTATTTTATGGTGCATTGCAGTCTGTTTGGCTGGTATATAAACCAAGTATGTCTGCGGCAAAGTGGAAGCTGTTATTGTTGTTTTGGACTCAACTGGGCGGGTTAGGCGAGCAAAGGACCAATAGGACGCTAGGCTGATCAGACCACTCGGAATTCATTGGTTTAGTACAGTACAAGAGTGAATAAGTCATATTTCGATTGGCGAATAAATTACGTGATAACTAGCTGGACTTAAAGTCACAAAGGTTTCCTTCCCTATTCTGTTCATTTCAATATTCTGAACCTTATGCTAGCAGATATTTCACATTTGAAAGATGTTGCATACTATTTATATCTGCAAATATGAGTAACATACACCACAAATGATTCAGTTTAATTCAATTCTTCCCACATTTTAGTAGTATTATAGAAGAATGTGAAAGCAAAGTGATAAGATATAACTAAATTGATTTCAATACTATTTGATTCCAGGTATCGCTGGGCCTAAGTGTCATGGTAATTCGATTTCATCAGTAAGACACATCTGAAGTATTATTTAAAAAAACCTTGATCGACAGACTTTCGTCAATACTAAGGCCTGGATAACAATACAAATAGTTACTAATTATCAACAACTTAGTACAGAGTGATTATTAGTTTAAATAAAGTAATGGCGATTAATAAATCTAAAATCTTCCTGCTACTAATTCGAAATATTGGCCTCTGTTTAATTTTGAATTAACGTAATCTATATGAATTTCAAGAATTGAGATCATGAGTCAATTGAAGCTAGACTACCATGCAAAACCCGGACGTACTGGACTGCCTTTTCGTTCTATTGTGAGACTCCTCAACATTGCGTACAATAGGACGAAACGGTTGTCCAGTGCTTCCAGGTTTTCCATGGTGATCTAGCTTCAGTTGACTCATGTTCTCAACTATTTATAGGTGGTCTGTGAATATAAGCAATATAAAAGTGTCTACACATTAAGCCTATATCATCAATAAAGAGTAACTAAGAAAGTTCTGTAAAAAATTAGCAAGAGAATCACAGGAGACAAATGATAATTAATATAACGCTATAATCTAGTGATGGAAACTGTAGTTATTTTTAAAGTGGTTAATGTCAGTAGAATCAAGCATTTTGACAAAACAACATTAACGTTAACACCATTGGAGGCCGGCTCAGTGGTCTAGTGGTTAAGTGCTCGTGTGCGAAAACAGTAGGTCCTGGGTTCAAACCTCGCGGTGGCGAGGTTGTGGATGTGCACTGCTGAGGAGTCCCACAATAGGACGGAACGGCCATCTAGTGCTTACAGGTCTCCCATGGTGGTCTAGCTTCAACTGACTCATGATCTTAACCATTGAAGACAATACTTACTATTTATTCCACCCGGAATGATATGACTTTCATATGTGCTTATTTTTAAACAAAAAAGTAATTTTTATTTATCATATTATAGATGGAATATTCAAACAATAAACTAGGCTTAATGTGTAATTCTGCCTTTATATGATGTTCTTTTCCCTGTATAATAGATATTTCAAGGTCGATCTTGATTGTGTTGCGTCAGGAGAAACACATTTCTCCAGTAGGGTTCGTTGTGATCAGCCCGTCATGTTTATCTATTCGTTCACCTATATTGTGAGTAGGATTGATGACTTTCTAAATAGCGATGGAGACATTCAACAGTAAATAATAGCCAAGACCTTAACGCTTACTGATCCCTGAGCTCCTTTCAACCTAGTAATCAATTAGAAGATGAGTGTAAAAAGCAGATCAATTCTCTATTGTACTTAATTCAATTATAACACAAAAACTCATACAATAATATGCGTAAAATGTCTGACCACATAGCAACACAATTAAGAAATCATGATATGTACATAACTCAGTCATAAATGATACAAAACCAGAGTGATGCTGGAATAATTAATCAGTAATAAATCTGGGACGATAAAACATGTGACAACGTTTTGTAGGTCAAATGAAAGTTTAGAAATAGGCGGATATAAAAAAAAAACAGATCAGCCTAAGCGTTTACTAATTATACAATAGTAATATTAATGATAATAATAATAATTCTTCATATGATAGTCTCACAAGTAATACTGTCACATTTTACAGACTGAATTAAATACGATATGATCTCTTTTTCTTTCAAGATCTTCCTAACTGTTGTAAATGAAATAAATGAAACTGGTATAGCCACTATATAGAGATTGATATAGTTTAATACAATAAAGAAGACAAGATTGCAAATGAAGATCATATTATGCCCTATAACAGTAAATAAGAGAAAAAACAGACCTAACCAGTGAACAATAACAGACAGTAGACAAAACACTTTTAATTTCTTATATCTAGAGTTAATGTGCATCGAATGATGACAGTTCGTCAGCCATCAGTTGAGATGGTTGACACACATATTACATATTCCCAACCACCGACTGCCCCGACGAGCGATGTTTTATGATTTAGGAGTAGGTTGGAAGAAAGCTAGAGGCGGACACACAAAAACATGACATAAATCCATGAAGTCAGTGAAAAGTGGGCTGAGCCTTGTTGGTAGGTGTAGACTACCTTGTTGGCATCCGCGAGATGATAGCAACCGATGGTTAGAGACCTTGAATGACATGGTTCAAAATCGTTTACAATGGTTCAGATGCATCCACTCTTTGTGTTCTCCAAAATTCTAATCTTCTGAATTCTTCATATCCATTTCTTGTTTTTCTCCTTCCAGATTTATTTCACTGGATTATACTCCTTGAATAACATGTTCAAAGCGTAATGTTTCCGATTACTGCTTATACTTTTACTACCTCTACCGTTATGGGATTTGAATCGACAATTGTATCTGTGTGTTGATGTGGTATGGCAACTTGAACTGATGTACGTACGTACGAATTTCTACGTTGTTGCTGAATAACCAACTGAGCTAGAATGACACAGGTACTCAATGCTACATAATTTCTATTAGCTGTTTATCGATGGTTCAATTGTAAACATAATAAAGATTGAAATTTGCTAACATATGAACACATTTTCAATCATGCTATTGATTTGAAATCGGTGAACATGAAGTATACGAACGACCTTGACCTACTTTTTAGCCGAACCGACAACAGCTTTCAACTATGAAACATTTTAGGATGAAATTATAATAGATGAACAGATTGAACATGAATGATAAACTTTTGTATGTGATCTATTATTGTCGTTATTTTCATTATATTAGTTATCATAGTAGGAAGACTTTTGTGGTTAAAGTATAATTTAGGAACAAATCAATCATAATCGAGAATAAGACTTTTAGATCTTTATGCGAAATTCAAGCATCGTGTAAAAGGAGTAGTAGAAATACAATAAAAGTATACTATATAGACGATCTTAGACGACTTATCAGTCAGTCAGGAATCAGTACCTAGTTATGAAACAATTAACAATACAAAGCAATGAAATAACAGTGGAATAATAGCTTTGATCTGAATAATTAACCGTCACAAGACAAATCATCCATTGTGATAAAAAAGGCGGCACGATCATACATATATCTATATATTAGGAGACGTGCTAGTGTTGTGAGTTAAGTTTATAATCCCACAAGATTTTCATGACCAACTGATATCATTTGTGATATCTAAAGGTTAGAGTTAGGTATTAAGAGTTAATCTGCATCAGTAGGCCTCAGTATACAAAAAGGATGAAGTAAGATCTTCAAATACGACACGGAGAACACCAACTCAGTCACACTTGATGGAGAAACTCTGGAAGATGTGGAGTCTTTCATGTACCTGGGAAGCATCATTGATGAACAAGGAGGATCGAATGCGGACGTAAATGTGAGGATTAGCAAAGTAAGGACAGCATTTCTACAATTGAAGAACATGTAAAACTCAAAACAACTGTCAACCAATATCAAAGTCAGAATCTTTAATATGAACGTCAAGACAGTTCTATTGTATAGGACTGAATATTCTAGAACTACTACAACCATCATAAAGAAGGTACAAGTATTTATAAACATTTTTCTACGCAAGATACTCAATATTCGTTGACCTGATACCATCAACAACAGCCTGCAGTGAGAGAGAATAAACTGACTTCCAGATGGAGAGGAAATAAGGAAAATATGTTGGAAGTGGATAGGACATACATTGAGGAAATCACTAAAGTGAATCTCGAGGCAAGCGCTAACTTGAAATCCTGAATGGAAAAGGAAAACAGGAAGGCTGAAAAACACACTGCGTCGAGAAATGGAAGCAGATATGAAAAAAAGCATCTGGAAAGGATTGCCCAGAACAGAGTTGGATAGAGAATGCTGGTAAGCGGCCTATATTCCTCCAAGAGGAGTAACAGGCTTAAGTAAGTAAGTAATTAAGAGTTAAACTGGAATTTTGAATTAGGGTCAGGGTTAATGCTAAATATATTTTGTTATATCCCAATGAGTAGAAAAAATGTATTTCTGACGTTTCGTGACTTAATATAAGCCACTTCTTCAGAGTAAATAAATAACCGACATTAAATTAACACGCCAGTCAATGGTTAAATACGTTAGATAAAAATGATTTTAGAAGAAGTGTATGTGGCTCAGATACTGACGTGTTAGAATCAGAAGAGTAAAATTTGGTTAGTACGAAAATTAACCAATAAGATATTACAAATATTTATTCACGTATAAACTTACAGATTAATTAATATTGAATATTATCGTATAAATTATACAAATCTAACTATTGATCTAACTGTAATTCAGTCACTTATTTCCGAAGCCAAATAAGTCCATATCATCAGATTTTGTGTTCTCACTACACCTTGTCAGGTTTGAGTCCTTCAGTAACAAACACAAATTAGTTAAACATTCCTCAGATAGATGACATTGACAGACTTAACAGATACATTCACTCTTTATTTCGCTTTAAACTTTGGTTTCTCCGTTCATATCTTTCCACTCCTCTTTTAGCTAACATAGAATAGATGAAATATGGCTAGTATTGGAACCCAAGGATAATGTTCTGTCCTATCTATGACTCGTCAACTGGACGTATTTGCACCTCAGAGTTGATGTGAACTCCAAGACTCAAATTCAATACCATTCAGTTTAAGAGTTAATAACGGAATTCAAGACATTTGTTTCATACAATTTATAATTCATCAGCTGGATATCTTAAATAGTTGAATTCATGAGTCAACTGAAGCCAGACAACCATAGAAAACCTGGAAGCACTGGACGGCCGTTTCGTCCTACTATAGGACTCCTCAGCAGTGCGCATTCACGATCCTGCCTCCTTCGGCGAGATTTGAAACCAGGACTGATCAGTTTCACGCGCGAGTGCTTAACCATTAAACCAATGAACCGGCCGGCATCTAACGGTGTCAATATCTAACTTCAATCTCTTCTGATAATTATTTAAAAGAGTTACTCACCAGATAACCTCTCCAATATGATTGTAATTTAATTGCTGCTTCTTCATCTGTCCATTGTAAACTAAGTGGTAATGGTTTACGTGGATGTTTTTTCAATTCTTCAATAACCCATGGTATATTTAATATGTGTTGTACATTTTTACGATCATAATCTTCTTTCATGTATAGATTATTTTTATATAAATAAAATGTTAAAAAATCCAATCCATTGAATCCGAAACGTTTTTTCTTGAAATTTTCAAAATAAAGTAATACAATTATGTGTTTAAATGAAATATTCAGGGGGAAAAAACAAAGCAAATTAAAATCCTTTCCAGACAGAATACATAAACAATCTTACAAGGAGGCACCAAACAGATATGCGCCACATAAATCATTCGATTTGTGTGAGGGCTGGAATATTACACGGGTGCCCATATCGAAGCAGGTGGTTTTGTTAAGAGGCCACACACGGAGCCTTCGATCTAAAGGTCTAATTTAAAAGGCAATAGAGCAACGTAAGGAGAAACAGTCCCAAGATAGCCGGTCACTAATAATTGGTTCATATGCCATTTGTTCCTTCAGGATATTGGGGCCTATGTGCACCATTGGTTTGGTATCAGGGTTTTCCAACTTTCCTAAATAGATCCTCTATATCCACCAACCCGGTTGAGGAGCCGGAAATTCGCTTTTCATCCTCTCAATTTCGTAAACAATAGTAATGCCCACGAGAAGGCAGTGAGTAGGACTTCTGTGATAGTGGTTTTATGCACGTGGCCATGTGAAAGTATTTCGAAAGGGAGAGCTGACCCTCCGCACTTTCAGCCGTACCAGGCCATTGGGGGGCATTAAAAAAACAACTTCCGTTGATGAAGAGAATTAATTATTTCCATAAATCAGTCAATTTTTATAGGGTTCAATGTTTCACCTAAACTTATGGAGATATTTTCAGTAAATAAGTGGAATTCATACAACTGCAAATAAATATTAAATTCACTTGGTATTGTTTGACTTGTATCTTCCCATTGAGGTTTAAGACTACAATTGATCAGTCTGTTATTGGCATATGTGCATACTGTGCGTATGCCTCGATATTGTCCCAGAGTGAACATTAACTCTGAGATGCAAATACATCCAGCTGACGAGTCCCAAATAGGACGAAACGCTCGTCCTGGATTCCACTGCTAGCCACTATCCATTATTGCTTACAAAAATACACATAAATATTAATTTTCATTTTTGGACAATTCGTCATTTTGTGATATTCTATGATCAATTCTCCATTACCAAATAGTAACAACCATCTTATAACCATTCACTATTAATCAAGTGACTCATATGAAAATGATAAATTCCTAAAGTTTGTTTCATAATGATTGACCCCCTATCGCTAGTTTATTCAAGTTGGATATGTATGTCATTAGATATGACCACAATAGTATAATGATAACAAGAATAATTACACCATCAACATTCACTGTTCTACGTTGAATTCCATATGGATAATGATTGTATTTGTGAAGTGATAAGAAATTCTTAAATTTAAACAAGACAACTGTTTACTTCTTACTATCATTTCATGTTAAGACTTATGCATTATTCAAATTGCTTGGAACATTTAATTTAGGCAATTCTTCAAACAGATACACTTATTGTATGAATTTTAGATTTGTTATTCTATACAACACACTAAACGATGTCTGTGTTGCGTAGAGACAATTATCCACTTCAAACATTGAGTGAATGGTTGTACAAAATCTTGGATGGATTAAAGTTAATACCGTTGGATACCAGACCAGTGGTTTATTAGTTAAGCATTCATGTGCGAAAAACTGAAGGTCATTGTTATGACTTTAAGTTGAGTCGATTTTTACCCTGTGCTAATTGTTGGGTCCTTGACTGGAAAAATTAGAGAGCAGCGTACTTATCGATCGATTACAGTGACACGTAAAACACGTACGGACGGCCTAGAGTCTCGATTGGTCCCACTCCCCTATCTAGCCCAGTCAGTTGAGTCCAGAACACAAGTCACAACCTCTAAGATATGAATCATTGTATTCCAGACATACTCTATTTAAATACTAACCAAACATACCACATCGTACCATAAAAATAGAAAACAACATTTGTACAATATTTAACAGATGAAATAAATAATGGCCAATAGGAAATGTCCATTTAATGTCCAAGGACATTACTAGGCTTAACATGATAATGATTGGCACATTATTCTGCATCCATAACAGTCATGGTTTCGAGTCCCACATACAGGATCGTTAATATTGCACTGTTGAGGAGTCTCATACAAAGACGAAACAATCATCCAGTACTTGTAGATTATCAATGGTGGTCTATCTTAGATTGATTCATAAATTCAACTATTAAAGTATCTGAAAATGTTAATCATTTCATATATATATAGATATATATTCTTTCTTGCTCAATAAATAAAACAGATAATCAATAATTTGAAGGTCATTTTCCTTCTAAACCAATCATAATACACGAGTCATGTTCATATAATTTATTATCTAATTTGATACAACTGACTTTCTATTTATAGATAAGATGATAAATGTTCAATGTAAATTTCTACTCATTTTGTTTGTTTTACGACAGAATTACTTCATGTGATCAAAGTCTATCGTTTCTATTTTATTTAATGTTACCAGATCTGCAAATGATAGAATCATATTACACTAGTTGAAATCATGATTCAATTGGAGTTAGAAAACCATGGAAAACCTGGAAGCATTGGACGGCCGTTTCATCCTAGTATGGGACTTCTCAGTAGTGAGCATCCACAATCCCTATGGTGAGATTCGGACCCAGGACGTATCAGTCTCGCGCGCGAGCGTTTAACCATTAGACCACTGAGCCGGCTGGCTTCGAATGGTGTTAATGTCCAACTTTAACTAATCTACGAAATTGCGCCACCGTACACCATTTTCTTCAGTGAGATGATATCTTACAACAGACCTGGTTGAACTCGACTGGTCACGGCTTCTCACTGGAACTCCAGGAAATGCCTCTTGAAGTCAGTCATTAGTGAGCACATGATTATTATCAGGAGTTTTGTGGAATTTCACTAGTGGAATTTCTAAAAATCTCCACAAAACCCCTTCTGATAAGAATCATATTAATCATAGTTCACCTGTATTTACACACAAAAAAGAGTAGAAGATACTCGTAAGCTACTAGTATTTGATCACAGATGCCTTAGAAATATTACTCGCATCTGCTGGGATAACCAGTTAAGTAATAGTGAGGTTAGACTCAGGGTATTATAGAATGATGGTAAATCAGTTGATGAGGTTGTGAATCTTCATCGACTGAGATGGTTGGGTCACCTGTTACGTATGCCTGAACACCGAGTACCAAGACGCGCAATGCTGACTAGTGTTGGGCATGATTGGAAGAAAGTTAGGGGCGGTCAAATCAAAACGTGGCATCAGTGCTTGAAGTCACTAACTTCTAGTCTGAGCCATGTTGGTAGATGCAGACTACTTGGTTGGGGTCCGCGTGACTATCGTAACCAATGGTTGGAGACTCATGGTGATATGCTTCAGAATCGATCACAATGGCGTCGGTGTATACACTCTCTGTCTTCCCTTAAACTAAGAGAATAAAATTACTTGATATCTTCCTTTCTTCGGACTAATTCTTTGTTACTGTACTATATCCTTATTACGATCTTTCTTTTGTATATTACCACCCCTGAATTAACTATTTTATCAATCCGGTGTTCATCTTTTTGTGCTAATGAGGTATGGCAACTTGGACCGATGTCTGGTCCTACGTTGTAACTGACTGACTGTATTTACACATATATATGTATATACTACAATTCCCTTTTCCTCAAAGCAATACTTCAGTTAGTCAATCGATGAATAAGTTATTCTATTTATTTGATATCTATTATTTTCCTTTTAGAATTTTAAAGATTCATATCGGTGATAATATTAACTATGTTTGGATTTCATCTGTTAATAGGGAAACAATCAGTGGAAACTTCAGAATTAATTGTTATGTGAGTTATAAGAGTGAGACTACAATCTATGAACGAACTAATCAGATTTAAGATAACAGATCTTGGATTTTATAGCGTAATTCATTCATTCATTTGGTTAAATACCATTTTGGGATTATAGTTCATATCAGTTCATCATGAAACACATTGAATCTAAATCCTAACTCTAATGTTCAACTGTAAATCCCAATCCTAATTCCCAGCAGTAACATATAACCCTCATCTAAACTTAGTAGGTAGGTGGACATTTCAAGGTCATTTTAGCATTGCTCAAAGATCGTCCATAAATTATAGTACCACGGTTATAAAGAAAAAAATACTTTTTCCTGAATGTAAATACAAAGAACGTAATAAATGAACAATCTTTCATCATAGTGTTTCCCCTTGAGAAATTTGTTGAATATAATTTAATCGAAAACAGATATAACTACAGATTTTACATTATCACTAACAGATTGATAGAAGTTGTTACCAAAGTAAAATCGATTTATGCTTATTTCTAATTGATCACAGTGATTCGTGTAATTATTATTATTATTATTATTATTATTATTATTATTATTATATGTATCTGTGCTTAATCAATAATTGAAACGTATCTTTTATTGATTGTTTCTATATATCAACTATTTCATAATATGAGGTAGGTTGTATTAATTTATTATATATTAACATTTATAATAAAACATCATAAATCAGTAAGCCAAATCAATTGCTTATTCTATGTGTTATATCCTAACGAAGATTAAATAACGAGTAACTTTTGAGATCTATTAATGGATCAATATTCTATATATATATCTATCCTTTTGTATAACTATTCAGTAACTAGATTATGTATATCTATATTCTCCTTATTATAAGCTTTCATTTGACCTATAGATTATTATGATACGGTTTAATATTCTTAAGTTATACCCAGTTTATTGATTACAGTCTCCCACGTTCACAGCTACTTTTTGGCTTGTCAGTCAGTCAGTCAGTCAGTCAGTAACAACGTAGAACTTCGTACGTACGTACATCAGTTCAAGTTGCCATACCACATTAGTACAGAGACGCAGTTGTCGATTCAAATCCCGTAGTGATAGAGGCGGTAAGAGTATAAGCAGTAATAGAATAGATTAGGGTTTGAAGATGTTATTCAAGGAGTATAATCCAGTGAAATAAATTTGGAAAGAAAATAAGGGACATGAAGAATTCAGAAGATTAGAATTTGGGAGAACACAAAGAGTGGATGCACCTGCACCATTGTAAACGATTTTGAGCCATGTCATTCAGGGTCTCTAACCATCGGTTGCTATCATCTCGTGGTCCCCAACCAGGTAGTCTACACCTACCAACATGACTCAGTCCACTTGTCAGTGACTTCATGGATTTTTGCCATGTTCTGGTCTGGCCACCCCTAGCTTTCTTCCAACCCACTCCTATACCATTGAACATCGCTCGTCGAGGCAGTCGGTCGTTGGACATACGTAACAGCCATCTCAACTGATGAAATTTCACTACTTCATCAATTGATTTGCCATCCTTACCTAGTACCCGTTTCCTAACAACTGTGTTGCTTACTCGATGGTCCCATGATATACGAGCAATATTTCGAAGACACCTATGATCGAATACTAGTAGCCTACGAATATCCTCTACTCTTACCGGCCATGTTTCACTGCCATAAAGTAGGACGGAACGAACTCCTGCGCAGTAAACACGTCCTTTGGTTGATAAATGGATATATCGCCTACGCCATAAATGACGCAAGTTGGTCAAAGCTAGTCGGGCCTTCTGTATCTGTGCTGAGATTTTGTCACACACCAGACCACAAGGGCTGATGAGACTTCCAAGATAAGTGAAGCAGTATACACGCACGATCACTTCACTCCCTACCATTAGTTCATGTGTCGATGCAACTCAATCCTGATGCAACATTTTCCATTTCGAGGGGGGGAATCGCATCCCGAACATGCTTGTATTGTTGTTTAGACTGGTCAGAAGACTCTGCATTTTGTCAGCGTCTTCACCAAATAGAACTATGTCATCAGCATATTCTAAGTCAACAAGTGAACCTCCCGGTAGAAGTTCAACCCCTGGAAATTTAGATGAGGAAAGTGTTATCTCTAAAAGTACGTCGACCACAAAGTTGGCTTGACCTTATACAAATATTATTTCCTATTTTATGGTGCGGTGTGGTCTGTTTGGCTGGTATATAAACCATATATGTCTGAAATAAATGATTCGCATAGTGAGAGATGTTATTGGTGTTGTGGACTCAACTGGACGGGCTAGGCGTGCAAAAGACCAATAAGGACGCTAGGCAGATCATACCGGTCAAACGTTATTGGTTTGTTGTCGTGGACACGTTAGATTCCCAGAACTCACTTGGAAAAGGTCCTAATTTTGTAATTTTATTTAGAAAATTTGAATTTCTTTGTTTTCTCGAAAAAAAACGCTCTTTCCACCATCGTGTCATATTTCCCACTCTGAACAATCTCAAACGCTATTGGTCCGTTGTGTCTTTTAGTATGCTATTTTGTAACCTTTGCCAAGGACGGTTTTGTGCTGCGCTTATGCGTTTTGATTTGTGTCTGTTATTATCGCTCGTGCTTCTAGATTTTTGCGAAATATACTTCCCCGTTCGGAATTCGACTTCTTTATGTAGTTAGCGGGGCTGGGGCGCAATAGAATAGCTAGGTTACTGGTCTTTGGTTACAAGTCTTTGTTCAGTTCGCAGACTAAGTGAACTCGTAACCACTTCAAACCTAGCATAGTACAGTCTAAGAGTGAACAAGTCGTATTTCGATTGGCGAATAAATTACGTGACTTAAAGTCACAACACTATGTTATCTATGGTGATACATAACTTTAAAAAAGGTATCTTCTTACTAAATTCATACAATAAAAACTATCATTCATATTGAAAGTTCTATTATAGAGATACTACCAAAAGAGATGAATGATTTTATCACATATCTGAGCATTAAAATGTATTCTATAATAATGAAGAGAATAAAATGGGTGGAATGAGTTATTTGCTTATGAATGGAAGAATAAAAGCTAATGGATTTTTTTAAAAACATCTTTTAATTATCTTAAGCTTTCTATGAAAACTGATTAAGAAATTAAGCTATTGACTTAAGGGAATAATTGAAGCAATTCGCACAGGATGTACACATGTCAACAAGAGATATCAATGAGAAAATTCAAATAAACAATACAAAAATAAATAAACACTTCATCCCATTGCATAAGATAGTGACTATCTAGGCTTAGTAACTGGGTAGATAACGCGATGACGTTTGAAACGAATGTTACTAGGTTTGAGTCCTATAGTGAACATCAACTCAAGGGATGTAAACACATTTAACTGATGAGTCTCAAATAAGACGAGATATGTGTCCTGGATTCCATTGTTAGCCACCATTTTTATTCATAAAAATAGAAATTATTGTACATTATTTTTGTGTTTACAGTCACATACTCTTCAAAAGTATGAAAAATGTTAAAATATTAAAAAGTACACTTAAATACAAGATAAATAAAACAAATAATTCAAATGTAGTGACCTATAAAGGTTGAGTAGAGTAGTGACCTTGATGATCCAATCAAATAACAGTAAAATAAATATTTAAAACAAAAAAATCACTGGACCAATCAGAAAACAATTTAAATAACGATTTAATTGAACTCTTAATTTGTTCATTATTAAAATTTAAAGTATCATTAATTAAGAATAAGATGAGAATAATATAGTGACTTAGGTTCGTTGTTAATCCAGCAATTTGATATTAACACCATTGGATGTCAGCTCAGTGGTCCAGTAGGTTAAGCGTTCGAGCTCGAGACTGAAGGCCCTGGGTTCAAATCCTGCGAGCGGGATAGTGGATGCGCACTGCTGAGAAGTCTCACAATAGGACGAAATGGCCGTCCAGTGCTTCTAGGTTTTCAATGGTGGTCTAACATCAATCGGTTCATGATCTCAATCAAAAAGTTGATAACCGTTATTATATATAAATTCTAACAGTGTATGAATTCAAAGGGCAATAAGAAGCGGTGACTACAATTTATTAGTGGATAGTAAAGATAACAAAGTTACAAGTACAACGAGTAAATTTGGAGAAGAGTGGCTAATTTGTGTAAGTGAGAGAATACACAGGTGAGTTTGTAGTCAAATCGAACCAGGGGGGAATGAAATAAGGCAAAGGCAATTAATGGGATTCGAGCGCATACATAAGAAAGAGAATGATTCATTGAGTAATATTTAAGCGATCTAGAGAGAGAGAGAGAGTTATGTGCATAGGCTGTTACATGTGATCATAATGATATGAAGAAATAGACGAATTGTTACTGTTCGAAGAACATTCTCTATTAAATACATTAATAAAAAGGCTTAACCTAAAATTAACCATAATCGAAATTAATCGTAGGAGTGTTGTCATAATTGTGTAAAACTTTAATCATTTCAAGTCAATATTAAGTTAAACAAAAAAAGAACAAACTTATTGTGAATAGATCATCAAATTAGAAGAAGACACTGATTTATAAGTTAGGATTACTTGTTTATGGAATATTTATAGGTCACACATGTTTCCGCATTTTATACACTGTCTGTATGATTTATTACATTACAAACATCCCGTCTATTCAAAGCAAGAAAGTATATTAACTACTTCAGAGACTCCTCTTGAACGCTACATCAGTCAGTATCATGTAACGGATTTTAAGTTTCTGGAAAGTGTAAGTAGGTAAATTCTACTCATGATATACATAATTATTGGATTAATCCATTTCAGTCAACATATTATGACTAGACTCTAGTTTCTTGTTTATGTTATTGTCTAAGAATATCTTCCTAGCTCTATTCCCAAGACCTTTATCTATCCTTTTTATTGAATTTCTTATTTAGTTAAAACCAGAAATTTTATTTAAATATTAGAATAGTTTGGAAATAAGTAATCCGTGAAATTTGAGTGACTAGCATTGCAATTTATTCCAGATGAGAAAAAAAAATAGACATTTCGACAATCACCAATTATGTGTCTAATAACTCACAGAAAAGATGCTGTGACTATGAAATCCAATGATGTTAGAATTAAGTCATTCATTACTGATGATATTGGATAATCATAGAGTTATATCACAATGTGACTAAAATTTAAACTGGAAACGATTAGATGCCAAATAAGCGGCCTAAAGGTAACATACTCTTCAAGAAGTTAAAGTCTTTTACGGTGTTTTCGATGCGCTCGAAAGTTAATGGATATTACTTTCCTAATTCAATGATGGTTGGACATGAATCATGATCCAAAATATCTTGTTGGAAGAGATAAATCCTTCCTTGTGATAAATATCTACCAAATTCATATTTGAATCTTTTTGAAAAATATATAATTGTTATCACTATTTACAACACTTGATAGAAACTGATATGTTTATTACATAAGCTACTTATCAGTTAATTTCAGTAGACTAAAATATGTAGAAAAAATTGCATATGAATTTTAGAGAACTATGTACAAATTATGTGTAAAACGTCAATACCTCAAAACAGTGACTTCGTTTAGCTTGTTCAAGCATTGCTTCCATGGCAGGCAAAAGTATAGGAAATATGAAACGTTTTAAATATTCTCTTGGAGTACCTATTAGAAAAGGAAAAAATAAATAAAAACAGGTTTTCCATGGTGGTCTAGCTTCAATTGTCTCATGATCTCAACAATTGAAATTACTAAAATCTCCACAAAACCCCTTCTGACAGTAATCAACATATGCTCACTAGTGACTGACTTCAAAACATATTCCTGGAGTTCTAGTGAGAAGCAGTAACCAGTGGAGTTCAAACGGGTCAGTTGTGAGACAGTAACTCACTGATGACAATGGTCGATGTGTCGCTCAACTTCGTGGATTAGTTGAATTTAGACATTAACACCGTTGGATGTCGGCCGGATTAGTGGTCTAGTGTTTAAGTGCTCGCGCGTGAGACCAGTAGGTCCTGCGTTGGAATCCCGCGAGGTGGGCTCGTGGATACGCACTACTGAGGAGTCCCACAATAGGACGAAACGGTCGTCCAGTGCTTCCAGGGTTTCCATGGTTGTCTATCTTCATTGACTCATGATCTCAACCATTGAAGTTACTACAATATCCACAAACCCCCTTCTGACATTTGTGTTTATTGATAAAATGACATCCCGTGCATTACTAACGGCTTCTTTCATAAATAATGTAATACATTCATATGTTTTAAAAGTCATTTCCTGTCTGAACGAATCGATTTATTCGTAGCTACCAGAGTATGTTTTGAATATTCGGAGACTCTTCCATCCTTAATTTGCAAGCAATAGAATGACTCTACTGAGTTTTCTCTTATAAGTTAAATTATATCATTATTCTATGGCAAGACTAAAGTGTTGATAATTCGATGTGTAGTCTAATGTGTTGTAATATTACTAGCAATATTAATTCTTTTAATAGCGATGTCGATTTTTGTTGCTAGTAATAATTGTGATATACATTGCATACTTCATTATCATCATCACCATTATTGATTATTATGACCTGACAGATTGGTTGCCTTTGAGAAAAAGCATCTCACATTACAAACAGTTTCATTAACATGTTGTAGAAGCCATAGTTACCCGTAGCGTTTATAACGTGAACGTATAACACTAGGAAGTTAGTCATTAATGAAATTGGAATCATTACGAATATGCACTAGTTCGAGCTTCAATATACTTATAATTAACGCAGAGAGGTTAATTTAATAAAAAGTCTAGTGGAAGGAAAACGAGGCAACGTTAGTGTATACGATTTAAAAAATACTTAATTTATAGAATATGGTTCATAAAAGGAAGGAAGTGTGATCAAACTGTAACACTTAAGAAAGATAAAGAATAAATGGATCTCAGCTACTGTGATTGATTTTATGTCTTGCTGATCAAGAGTCACATTGCTGACTAGGAATTCTTCAACTTCCGACAAGGTTTAAACCAAAAGTCAACAACTTTGTGGCCTAATGACATATTACGGTTTGGTTACCACTAACCTATGAAATAAAAACTTTTGCAATGATAGCAAATTTCGCAGTAATCATTCTCACTATCATCGCGTTATGATCTCTAATCGATAAAACCACAAAATGTTTTCATTATGGATACGAAATGTTCTGAAGTTCATAAAATTATTGATATATTTAGTTTGTGTAGTTTTATTTTCAGTCTGTCATTGTATCAATCAAGTTCGAGTGATTTGTATGTTTGTCTTAATAACTGAATCAGAAATATGCGTGACTGTAATTATCTGAGTGGATAAAGTTATAACAGATAACTCATTACTGATTTATTTATTTCTGTCTTAATTACTCTTGAATAAGATAAGAGAATGATATAGGTATAAATTATTCTAACAAAACTAGTCATTATAGTTTAACGAAAACGTTTCGATGTATATGCTGTCGATTATGTTAAAATCCTGACCCCTCCCAAGATTTCAAAACATTTTCAAAATATGCGTTTTATAAACAAATATGACTGACTTTTTAAGCAAAGATAGATGGTGGCTAGCAGTGGAAACCAGGACGCGCGATTCGTCCTATTTGGATGTACCTGCATCCCAGAGTTGATGTTCACCCCGTGACTCGAACCCAGTACCTACGGCCCCAATCACCATTGGGTTATCCACTTAGCTACTGAGTCCTGATAGCCACATGCTCGTGCAATGGGGTGAGGTTTAAATTCACTTGGTGTTGTTTTACTTGCATCTTCCTATTGTTATTTAGGACTGCAACTGATCAGTCTCTTGTTAGCATATGTGCAACTCTAGGATGCAGGGGTAGTGAACAAGAACACGACTGGGGACAATGGAATGTGTTTGACACAAACTTACAGAACTTGTTATTAAAATCTAATAACCATATAGTAAATGCTCAATTTGCAAAATGACCATCATTTGTCTCAAAATGACTTAAACTTCATTGTTCTTGCATTTTTATACAAATTGCGTTCAGTTTTCATTCTTGACTGTTCGATCCTCTTGTCTCTTTGCTGCCAGACATTCTGTTTCTGACTAACGTCATATACTACTTAGGTCGATAAAAGCAGCACACACCACACCAGTACATCCAGCTGACGAGCCCCAAATAGGACGAAACGCGCATCCTGGATTCCACTGCTAACCACTATCCATCTTTGCTTAAAAAGCTTGTGACTAAAGGCTATATTGAGGCAATCCGCACAGTATGCACATATGTTAACATGAGGCTGATCAACTGTAGTCCTAAATAACAATAAGAAGATACAAGTAAAACAACACCAAGTGAAATATGACTGATCAACTTACATTTCTTTGCATAGTCTGAGTTTGGCTTCAATAATGCACTATCCATAGATGTATGTTGATCATCGTCACATGAATTTTCTGGTGATAATTTGAAGGACTTTATTTAATTCTGTTCTCATTTAAAATATTGAGTATTACTTGAAGAGTTTGAAATGAATCAGAGCTTAAAGTTGTATTTTTGTAGACTTCTTCGGGTATTAAACCATATTTTTCTAATTGAGAATCTAAAACAGAATTTGAGATAATTTTTTTGAAATCAATAATTTACTGTTAATACTCATTTAAAATAAAGATCAGTTTGCACGTTGATGATCTATAAAGCAAAGCTGTAACTGGTTATAGACGTCATGAAACATTCTAAATTCTTATTTAAAGAAACATCAAGTTGATTTGCTGAAGCGGATATGTGTTACCATGCACAGACATGCTAATACAAAGATTTGAAACCCCTAATACAAATGAAGAAACTAAAGTTATCATAACATCTCACAATGTGGAAATAAAGAATCGGTAAAAAAACAAGTTTCAATCTTAACACAAGTGGTTTTACTAAACGAATAAAAAAGAAACTAGCTACTATAATAAATATCTCTACTGTAAAGACCTAATGTCATTCTTGTCCTGCAATTATTCTTGATTAGTGTTATTTCAAGAAATTTGATCAATGGTACTTAGCTTCTTTGAACTGACCAAAATTGTTGTCACTGACTACTTCGGATGATATCTTGTTACGATAAGTTGTTAATGGGGTCAGATCTATCGTCTTTCTACCAGTTTTATCACAATGTACATCTAGAAAAAATAAAGAAATATTTGGATGCCAGCTAAGAAATAGAGCCCGATCATTTTCGACCAAGTATACTGGCCAGAACTTCTACTTTGAACAATAACAATAAATATGCCAATAATACTGATATAACAAACAACAAATGAAATAGGAAAACAAGAACGCTGAGAAACTGATAAGAATTTCACTTTGGCGGTCTGTCTAGAATTTTGTAAGTGTAGAAGTAATGCAGCATTATAAATTGGTCAAAAACCAACTATATGTAATGATCTCTAGTTCCGGGAGGTCTTAACTAGCCTACACTACTTATTATTTATTTACGTAAAGCGGATCACTGAATCATTATCTTGATCGAAAAGCAAAATCCCTTAACTTTAGAGATGAATACGAAAACAAACAATAAGCTATGGACATCTGCTTCAGAAGCTGTTATCCAGGATAATGTACTTAAGACATTGAGTGATTCAGATGCAACGAAACCAACAGCACCAGGATAGTTAATATTAATGTCGGCCATATAAACTGAAATATTCATGGATTATTCCTAACAGTGATATTCCGATTGTCACTGTACCGATGACCGTTACTTCTACATTGAAAGGATGGTATGTAGTCATCTTTACCCACAAGACCGTACCTAAATAGCACTCATTTCCGATCAGCCTTACAAAGACAGTTTCCAAGACCTGACGAAATTAGTTGAAAAGTTATTATACATTTTGAAACTTGTAGCTCTTTAAAGAACAGATTATGCAGCTTAAAGTGTACACTTCTATGTACGACAAACCAGTAAATAGCATGACAGAGCTGATAATCCCATTCGAATGAAGTCTACAGATGATAAAAGTTATGGATGAGTGAGTGTAACGAAAAGCATGTAAGTTTAAAATCCTCGTACTTTGACGATACTAATCAAAGTACTGTCCATTCCTTACCTGGAGAGCAATACACTTTGATGTATCGAGTATTACAACACAAAAATCGTGGTTGTTTATTCCTCAAGCAAAAAGTCATTAGTACGATAGAACGGATCCGCCATATGGAGTATTTGTTATGAAATACACGGAAATATATGCCAGTATTTTCCAAGAACAAAACAAAGAACGAAACTTAGGTGTGCTTTGCTGAAAGTATTTCCTGAGCAAAGTGACATCACTCAACTTAAAGCGACCATCGTGACATGAAAACTTAACTAACTACTATCATTAATTTCAATACAACTAACCTGATAATATGTTATTCCATAATGTGGCCTTCGACATCTTTTTGTAATTGTCATTAAACTGTTGCCTTAATAATGTCAGAATATGACCCATTTAAACAAATCATCATAGCTTGAATTTTGTTCGTTCTCTTAGTTATGGATGAGTCTATGACACTGACACTTTTTGAAACTTAATTTGGGTTGAAATATGTGGTTATTTTATATGCAGGTTTGTTGCAACAGAGAGTCTGAAATATAAAGATTCGTGTAGTAATTACAGAAGGCCTACGGCCCATGTTACCCCTTTTCTAGTATGCTCCTGTGAGTGTCCAGTCTTCTCTTGAATGAGTCAATTGAAGGTGCGGACACCACGGCCTCGGGTGACATGTTCCAAGTATTGATGACTTGATGTGAAAACCTGTATGCCACGGGTACTTTGTTCGTAATTTTTAGGTCCAAAATCATATATCAGTATTCTGTACGTTAAAATTAGATCTCCTCGTAGTCTGTGATGGGACGGAGTAAAGAGGTCCAGCTTTTCAAGCCGCTTTTTGTATGGTAAACTCCGAAGTTCTGGAAATGCACGGGTAGCTGCCCTCTTTACTTTTTCTAGGATATCCCAGTCACCTTTTAGACAGGGGCTTTCAGCCTGAATGCAGTTCTCAAACTTAGTTCTCACTAAGAATGTGTATATTGTGATGAACATGGTAGTATCTAACTTAGTGAATGTCCGTTTTAAAGCCCAGAGTGTTCGAAACCCCTTAGCTGCAACCTCCCGGCAATGGACTGTTGTCTTGAGATCATGACTCACTGTCACCCCTAAATCCTTATGAGACCGAACGACAAGCACTGGCACTTCCTCTATGCTGTACCTATTAACCTTTGAATCCCCAAAATGGATGTAGACACACTTTGCTGTGTTGATAGGCATCAGCCACTCTTTAGACCAGTTAATCATATCATTTATGTCTACCTGAAGAGCACATACGTCCGGGTCTCCAATTATTACTTGCCAGATTTTTACATCGTCAGCGTGTAACAACATTGGGGACTGTACTATACTTGGGAGATCATTTACATACAGTATAAAAAGTAAAGGACCTAGAACGGAAATTTGAGGTACTCCACTAAGTACTGGAGCACTTCTAATTTATTATTACTTTCTGTCTACGACCTACTAGTAAATCCTTAAGCCATTCTAAAAGAGGTTCAGCAATACCAAGGTTTTCCGACTTCAATGACAGTCTATTAGTTAGCACCTTGTCGAAAGCCTTAATGAAGTTTATGTAGACAACATCCACTGAGTTTCCATTGTCTAGCACCTTTATCCAAAATTCCCTTGCTATAAGGATAGACCCTATAAAGATAGACCCTTTCTAAAACCATATTGTTCTTTGTTTAGCAAGTTATTCGTTTTCCATAAATGCCAATTGGTCCGTTTGACTATTCTTTGCAATATTTTAACTGCAACACTGGTGAGGTTTACAAGTCTGTAGTTTGATGGAAGTTGTCTTGCTCCTGTTTTATGTATGGGAGTGACGATTGCGTCCTTCCAATCCATAGGCAACACACCTTGGTCAGTTGACATATTGAATATCACAGTCAGTGGGGCCGTGATATATTGTACAATATGTCCCGAAAAATTTTTTTGGGGAGGGTCATGTGATTCTGTTGACTGTTGCTAAGAGCCTTAAGTACATCGTCTTGATCGAAGTTCACGATGAGTATATGGTTTGTTGACTCTGTTTTTTGGTCTGATTCTTTGTCTAGAGGAGGTTCCTGAGTGAAAACTGCCCCAACTTAGTCAGCCATAGCCTCTGCTTTTTTCTGATCTTCCTCTATCATTTCAGATTCATTCCCTTCTTTAATTAGGTTGGGAATCCAATGATGCATCCTTGTTCTGCAGTTTATGTACGAGAATATTCTCTTAGGCTGCTTGAGTGCAGAATGAGCCAACTGCATTTCATATTTTCTTTGAGCTTCCGGATTTTAATTATACATGTGTTTCTTACCGATGTGTAGCGTTCCATCGAACCTGCTGTGCCAAGGCTGATAGCAACATTCCAACGTTTCTTCTTTTGTCTAAATAAACATCGGATATCCTGGCCTATTCAGGGATGACCGTGCTTCTTCATCTTTGGAACTGTCCGGGGTATTTATGGTAGAATTATCCGATCGCTTTTAAAAGCTACATAAGAAAAAAAAGTATGATCACACCTAATAACGATGAAAATGAATTCAGAACAGAAACGCAAGTAACAGAGCTGTTATTTCAGTGAATTAAGGTTGAACCTTAGCTAAATTATTTGTCATAATGAATGCATCCCTACAAAAGATGACAGATCATTGAACTTTAGAGCGTTTGCCGTGAATTTTGAGGATCAAGATAGGCTGATGTCGACTAACCGTTTGATTCCATACGATTTTCATGTATAGCGGCTTGACTTTATGCTCTGTCCACATTATTCTTTTCTACCCTTATTAAAATATGATTATACTTGGTAAGCTCTTGCCTTCATTGAACTAAATGTCATCTGCTTACCATGGGACAGTCTGAGAAGCTGTTAGACACTATGACTTCGAAGTTGTTGATGATGTCACAGGTATTCAGTGTTTGACAACGCTTCTACCAGTAACACCTTCTAATATATTTCGTTCCCACCCAGAGAAATCAAAAGACAGAGTCGAGGAGATCGGAAGAGTATATTTGGCGATGACCGATATATCGGAATTCTCTGATCTAATCTGGCTAGCGATTGCGGTTGATGTTGAGCACGGCGTTACCACACGTGATCTGGTGCGGATGCCTGATCGAGCGCCTTCAGCTAGATGAGTCCACTGAAACATATGGTCAGCATCTAATGTCGAAAACTTACAGAGGTATTTATTTTGGGGATTTATTTACAGCTACATTGTGCCGTTTGATTGAAGCAGCAGATAATCGATATAAGTAAGCTCATTATACTGAACAGGGTTTAAGTCTACGAACTCAGTTACTGTACAGCTTAGATGATAACCTAATAAGACATGCCATACGATGATTGCACTCAAAAGAGCTAAAAAAAGCTAGCACATTTTTGTATCTTAAAACATATGAAATTGTTTGGTAATTTTTAGGTAGACGTTGCTTACATAGTTTGCACCTCACATCATAACCATAACCACTTATAGATATTGCTTTCTAAAAAGTGTGTACATCTACGTGCCTGACAACTAATTCTACTTCCAATTCTACTCTTTTGAATTTTTACGTGTAGTTAGTTACGCCTCCCAAACATCTGTAATGAGTGAAATCTCGGTATTCGGTCTGAATACAGAACTAAAGAAACAAAGTTTATTGAGTTAGGCCAACCTACGTTCTTCTGTATGGCGTGCGAAGCGTTTTTGAGCGACTCGTATAAATCTATATCAAAGCACAAATTTTGTGCTCAATTTAAACGGTTCTAGTTAAAGAAGAAAACACATTATGTCAAATGTACAAAATATCTCAAACAGTACAGCCTGTGTTATACAATAAAATTATCCCCTAGCGCAAAATGACGTACCAAACAGCAAAAATGAATAGTTACAAAAAATATTCGATACCTAAGGGTCAATAAAAGTAATCCCAACAATATGGGATGAAATATCTACCTGTAAGGATTCCAGTAACCTTTTCAAACAGAAAGATGAAGATTAACAAACATACACTGGAACACACCGTGATCTTGAGTTGAGTCAAACACTACGTTATTGTCAGTTATCCGGCAACATGCAGTTGCCAGATCGAGTAATCAGTGGTGATTTTTTAACCAAGGTTGAATAATAAAAGCTCAGATGACGATGAACAAAGGACATGAGGTATGCTTAAGAGACCTGAATAAGGGTTAGAATGCGAAATAGTGAAAAAACATAAATGACAATACTATCCGATGAAATGCTTTGGAGGGATTTTCTGCATATTTTTTCCGTCACACTCCCACTTTGGATTCATGATCAACATTTTCTGACAAACATCGAATCAACATTGTAAAGGCGTTTAGATGGTGAGGGCATATTTTTTTTAAAAAGTACGTTCGCTAGGTTAGATGATATAACTGTTGCTAAGGGTGGTAATGTCAATGCTTGTCTAACATTAATTCTGACGGTAACCTTAAAAGATTGATCGCACTCTATTCCGTTCATTGGGCAGCTTTAATGTAATGGTAGTTGATCAAGACTTTCAAAATGTTAAGGTTACAAGGATATGATGAACTGGTTTGAAAAGATACATTTGGCTTTCTTAAGTTAAGCATTGATGTTACGGTGTTATAGCATACTATACAGCCGTTACGGTTGTTCCATATACAACTGTCACTGTTAGTGTTCAGATAATTATCAGCTGGGTAGTTTTAGTATCCCAAGTTCCCTCAGTCTTTGACCCATCACAAACAAGCGTAGCAGCTGTTCTTTACAGATATTTTGAGTGGTGAAGGTATGAAATATTAGGATTAAAACTATGACAACCATTCTATAAGTTCGAGCAAACATATCCTCTCTTGAAGAGCGGTTTGTGAATAACTTAAATACGATTTTATCACTACTATAATTTAGTTATAAGTTTTCGTATTATATATTTTTAAAAATAACCTTCACTGCGTCGCCTAGTTTGAATAGTCTCACTTGTAAATGCTTGTTGTGCGCTAGTTATACAGACAGATATAAGTAATATGTATCACCAAATGAATGTAGGGCTATTACTAACCGAGGAAAAAACGAGTAGAAGAGATAGAAAAACATAAGCAATACGAATAACAACACGAATGTAAGACTGACGAGTTTTAAAAACGGGGTTGGCCCTAGTATAAAATAATGAATCAAAAGGGGAATTTATGTTCACTGCTCATTTACTGTTCCGTCTTAATGGAATCAAATTACCGGCTCAGAAGATAACCAATAAACTATTAGATGAGCATGAAGGTATTAATAAGCGTTTACAATTTTTTGTTGTTTATATAATAAGGATTATTACTGATCCGTTTCTGTTTTTATATGTGCACACTGAGCGGATTATTTGGGCGAAGTATTACGTCACCGGCTTCAATATACATCATATGTAATTACTGAGTTTTACGAATAACAGTAAGTTGGACG